AAATAAAATAATACAAATAAAATGAAATGAAAGGTAGCAGAAGAAGAAAAAGATTTTGATATCTGCTCCTATTTACAAAAATATTAATTTCAAACAATAATAAACCAAATAATGAAACAAAACAAAAAATTCAACTCCTCAAACAGTGACTCATACAAAATAAACAATTTCATATTTCTTTAGCAATTTTGTTTTGATCGTTTTTTTAAAGGAATTAATTGATCCAATGCTTTTATAATCATTTTCCAGATTATTCTATAGTCTTTTACAGCAGCCAGCTCACCTTGTCATACCAGGACAGCTGACAAATGCTGCTAAAGGGATTAATAAAGTCTCCGCTTCAACTCAGAACAGAAATGAAACTAAAAACTGCTCCCACTGAATGTTTACACCAAAAGATCGCTGATTCATTCATTTCGCTGTCAATCAAAAAACAGATGATCCAATCATCATGCAGAAGCTGAGCGTCTGGGCCAGCCGAGGCCAGCCCCCTGTCCCACAAACCCGCAGAGACGCTGAGCGTCTGATGGGCGGGACAAAGCCAGCATTTATCCAATGACTCGTCTCGTTTCGCTGCAGTCTTTGCATCACTAATGAGCTCTGTGGAAGCTCAGCGTCCGACTGTTTAAAGCACCGTGAAGCTGCGGGAATGAGGGTTTGGAAAGCCGGTGATAAAAAAAACAGTTATAAAAAGCTGATTCTGAACTTAAATTGAGCACGTTGTAGCACATATTTAGTCAGTGACAGGTCCTCACAACATTATATATTTGATCTTTTATTTTTTTACATTTTAGGGGAAGCTGAGCTTCCCTTGCAGTCTTAGAGCAATCGTCTCTGCAGGCAGGTGACCCTAGCTAATTAATCAAACAGGAGTACCCAGGACTGATCCAGCTACTCCAGGCCAAAGAACCAACCAAGCTATTCCAGTCCCTAGCAAGCCAGCCATCACCTTAATCCAGAGGACATTAGGCCTTATTCAAAAGCTGGTCCAAGAAAAGAAGTTAACCAGCAGAGAAAAAAAGAGAAAAACTGCTTTTCTCACTTTTCTGTGCCTGACTTCAACTCTCAAGTTCACTTTTGAGTAAAAAACAGAACAACAATAATTTTGTCCTTGGTAGTTGCAAAACCCAGTGTGACATCTTACCCCATATAGTGAGACAACTTACCCTCTGGTGGGGCAACATGTCACATGTTCACTCTCTCTATTTGATTGCTCATAACTCTGCACTGATGCAAGCTGTGAAAATGACATGAATACAAAATATATACCCAAGACTTTGGTCTTTCATTTGGTACACATTTTTTTACATGATGTTTTGCCTCCAAGAAATACTGTATATAAAAGTGTAAAAAGTGTGACAACAAGCCCCGGTCTCCCCTACAATGTCATGTAGTGTTTTATTTTTTGTACATAAATTTTGCTCTTCTGTTACTGAGAAGCAAATTTCTTCATGACTCTGGTTAAAGTCAGGGATGTTTTAACAAGATTCTTCTCTGTAGAGCATGGTCAGTGCAGTGAGGTGTGATGTTGTACCTGAGGAAAGTCTGGATTGTCTTCAGTGTTCAGCTCGTCTCAGATTCAGCTGTGGTCAGAGGAGATGACACTCTTCAGCAGAGTCACAGTCTCTGAAGGTGTCCTGCAGATTGTTCTCCATGAAAGGCAGGTACAGAGCCACAGCACCACTGCAGCTCCTGAACTAGATCAGACTTCTTGGTCCTGTTCAGCATTGGGTGAGCCTCCATGGTCTTCATAGCTGCTTCAGAGAACTGTGTCACACGTTCCTGCTCAATTTTTATTATTTCCGGCTCATCCAGTCCAAGCTACTTCAGTTTAAGTTTCTCCTCATGTTCTGCTTAGGAAAGGATTAGATACAGGGGACTTACGGTGTTGTTTTGTACTTCATTTCTCGTTTGTTGTTCTCCAAAATCCACCTCGTATTGCCCTGCTGACTGCCGCCTCTTCGAGTCGTCGACACAGGTGGACCCACTACCAGTGTGTTTTTGCAGGTCCAACAATACCTTACATTGAGGACTTACTGCACATGACCAAAATCTTCACGAGTCACGTGAGGTGGTGAACACAGCGTGACCCGAAAGTGACTCAACACGAAAATGCTCATGAGTAAAATGGAAGTTTACACATCAATAATTATAAATTATTTATTTTGCTTATTAGAAAACATATATACGATATTTTGTCGAAACATTTATAACATTTTCTTTTGTTATTTTTATTTTATTTTTGTGTACCAAAAGTACGGGAGGTGGCGAACGTGGGCCCCCTATTGACCAGCCGCCACTGCTAGGAGCACGGTATGATCACGTCCAAATGAAGGTGTTAATTGATGCTTTTTTTCTCTTCCTCAGCGTGTGCCAGTGTGTTGGAAAAAAATGCATAAGTTGTCCAAAACGTCATAGTGTGACAGGGCCTTTACTCAAATGATTCTACATCAGACCCGGAAAATACGTATTCTGAAGAACCAGAGCGAGTACAGGAGCTCTTACAAGATGCTTCAACTTGGTAGTGTATGTCCCAGTCATCCTCTCCTACATGTACATCAATTTCAGGGTGCTTTTTCTGAAGAAACAATAAATATAAATCAGTGGCGTAGCTAGAAATGGATTTTAGGCCGGGCCTGAGAAAAATGGGTGGGCCAGATCAATTTATCAGATGGTACGCACAAAACCATCACCACACCTGACCCACACAAATAGCAGGCCACATGGGTGCAATGCGCGCGGCACACAAATCACCAACGWGACACCAGGCACCTAACAACCAGGTCCTGACCAACAAAGGCCACATGAGTGTGGTGCGTATCACATGGTGTTGAAAAACAGCGCTTCTGCCCCACAAACCCCACTGCACTCAACGCAGCGCGCACACACACACACACACACACACACACACACACACACACACACACACACACACACACACACACACACACACACACACACACACTCTATCATGCTTTTGACTTGATCACCTTACAAAAAGCCAAAAATAAGAAAATTAAAATATGACAAATGTTATGCAGTGGCTGCAGCTTGTAACATTAATGTCTCTTTAGTTGTGTCTCTGCCTGAGGAGGAGAGGAGAGGAGAGGAGAGGAGAGGGCAGCTGTCAGTCACAATGAGCTGCCGTCACTGTGTTAAAACAATAATTAAATAAAAACAGCGCAATAATACTATTTGATTTTTGCAGACTGTAATAGAAATAAGGTAAAAAAAAAAACAACCTAAAATGCAACAAAGTAAAGAGTGGGAAAAGAGGTCACATCAATGGAACATTTTCCATATTTAACCTTCTTTTTTGCACGGTGACAGAAAAATCTTAAGGCCGTCCAGATTGCAATTAGCACTCCTGACCTCTGGAATACGTAATAAATAAGCCAGGTGAGGCGGAGACAAAATGCAACGAGACTTCACAAGACATTTTGCTCAAAGATAACTAAGTGCCTGACTGATCAGTCAGTAAACAGGTGTAACAGCGTTACTTGTGGCTGAGGGCTGCAGGCTGGACAGATTCCCAGTCTCAGGTTCTGTGTCCCACATCCAGAGGACGAGGCAGCACAACAGCATTTACTTTATTTCAACTATTTTCTTTAACATTTCGATGATATTTAACTGTTTAAAAACTGGTCACATTTGTAAAACATGCAATTAGCCCTAGCTTGTTTAGAGCTCTGGTTTGGAGCGTCGAAGTCATGTGATTCAAAATAGCCAATGACAGCAAGTCTTGCAAAGACATTAGTGACCAATCACCACCATGCATATACGTTGTTAATTTGAATTTCATTTAATTTTAGTTCTTTTTTATTTTATTTAATGATGGCTTTGAGTGACACCCTCAAAAGTAGAACTAAATTATACATAAAATTTTATTATTATTTTTAATCTGATTTGAGAAAGCCATTTGATTTGGGTGGGCCCAGGTACAAAGTGGGTGGGCCCATCTAGTCACACCCATAGCCACGCCCCTGATATAAATCAATATGAAGTTTTGTTTTGCAATGAAATCATGAACATCCACTAAGACACGATTTGCTAGTCTGGTGGAGCTGTGCAGGGGAGGGGTGCTCTGTGGGGCGACTGAGCTCCAGGGAGGAGCTTTGTGTAAATAGGCGGTGCTTTGTTCAGGCAAGTGTTTAGGCAGCTCCACACAGCTACCCACAGGAGAGTCAAGGATTTCTCAAGCATGCATGATTGAGTCAAAGCAACACTCTGGGTATGGTTTTGAAGAGGGAATGACTATATAATATGAAATAATTTAGCAATTTTGCAAATTTCAATATTTGGATTTAAAAAAAATGCAGCACAGAGTATTTTAGTCATGTAGTTTTATTGCCTTGATGACTGTTCCTGTTCACCTCAGACCCCCGGACATGGAGAGCCAAAGAGTGAACAGGACAGTGAGGACCTGCTGTGACGGTTGGGGTGGACTTCGCTGCTCTCAAGGTAGGAACCAGAAACTAAAAGGTCCCTTCTGTAGACAACTTGTTAGGACAACTAACAAAATGATTTTATTTACATTTATAAAAAAGTGAAAAAACAACATAAACATAAACATAAACAAAAACATAAAAAATAAATCATTACATTTTAAATATTTTTCTACAATGGTAATAATTACTAAAGTTTGGGCAATGTTAAAAAACAAATACAGTACGACTTAGACTTATTCTTAGATGTAATTACCATAATTGTATTATATATTGGAGATACTGTATGTATAGCAGCACATAATACTTACCACATAATTATTCTGGTACTTATAAGGCAAACGATACATATCTGATATATATATCTGGCTGGTATGCACTATACCTGGTACATACTTGGCTGTATTATGTAATAATACCTTTATTTATTTCATTATTTTTTCGTGTCAACTTCATTTTAATAATGTATAAATTGTCTGCTATTCAAGCCTTGGATATTAATGACGGTTGTGAAGTATAGCCTTTTTTATTTGTATTGTTCATATCCTTTTTCATTATGTTTTAAAGCAGTATTGAGTGTTTCAGGTGTTCTCCTGTCTCATTCTTCCTCTCAACATATGTAACTGTTTGGGGTGCAGATTTTAAAGTATTGTGTGGGCTTGGATTAGAGGAGCTGCTGCTGTGCAATGAAAGGATTCCGATGTGGTTCAGACATCTGATCAGGACACCTGCCTTTGGAGGTTTATTTGGACCCGTCACACTGGGAAGAGGCCCAAGGGCAGACCCAGAATTTGCTCGAGTGATTGCGTTTCCTCTCTGGCCTGGAAACCCATTGGGGTCCCCCAGAAGGAGCTGGAAAGTGTTTCTGGGGAGTGGGATATCTGGGTTTCTCTCCTGGACATGTTGCCTCTGCAATAGACAAGTGGTAGAACATGAGAAGGTCCCCAGTCTTTTTTGGGGCTAAATTCATATTAATTTCACTGACTAAACAAGCTTTTAAAGTCTGTTTGGGCAACATTTGGATTATAAAAGAATGGTCTGAAAAAGCCATTGGAATCTCACATGGAGAAGGATTTTCCTGTTGCTGTTACATTGTCTTGTAATATATATATTTTTTCTCTATGTCTCTGTATTTTGCCCCTCAGGTGTCGGGGTGCGTGGTCAGTGCTACTCCACGTGGAGCTGTGCAGAATTCCCTGGAGTTCATAACTTCTCTCTGATGCCCATGGAGCAGTGTTGCAGCACCCTGTGGGGACTGAGCTGGAAGAACGCCTCTGATCAGACCTGTTTGACTTGCACCTACACTCTCCTACCAGGTGTTACAACAAGTGCATGCTGCTTATTAAGACAGCCTGTCTCAACATAAACCTGTGGCTTGGTATCTTGTTTAGTAAAAGTACACGGAAGAATCAGATAGTCGGATATGACAACAGGTTATGAGAGACATGCACTATTTCTCTGACCCCCGTCCAGACTCCCAGTCCTCTCCTTTGGTGCGAAGTGGTTTACTGAGTACCTCCAGGGTCCCTCAGGGCTCAGCCACCTGCATGTCCTGGGGTGGAGCCCACTATCGCACGTTTGACAGGAAGCACTTCCACTTCCAGGGCAGCTGCACGTACCTCCTGGCCTCGTCTACTGATGGCACCTGGGCTGTTTACATCAGTACAGTCTACAACCAGAGAGGAAACTGTAGCAAGGTGATCTTTTTTATGCTTTGCTATATTGTTGAATAATTATTTTACAAGAACAATGGTGATTATAACAGGAAACTTACCAGGATTCCAGAGGCAGACTGAACAGTTCCAATGTGATCTGCCAATGTTCAATTCAAAAACTTGTGAGTTTGAATGGTATTATGTCTGTGGTTCTCTATTTTCAGGCACTGAGGATGATGATGGGCCTCGATTTGGTTTCAATTTATCATCAAAACTTAACAATGAACAATTTGCCTGTTCCAAATGGAGAGCCACTGTTTCAAAATGGTATGGATATTAACCACTTCTAGCTCTTAGTAAAACTGTGTGTCTTTTTATTGCCAATATTAGGTAAGCAATTTTTTTTAAATTCTAAAACAAGTTCAAGATTCAACTGAACTAAAATAATCAGTGCATATCGTGGATTGGTTAGATTGATGTCAAATTAACTGGGATCGATGCAGACCTTAAAAAACCTGTATTGGTTGATCTCTGGTCTGGTCCTCCCTGAACAAGTAGCAGATAATGGATAGAGGAATACTGTATATCCCCTTTTATATTTCTAAATCTGCATTGCATTTCTGTTGCATGTTAAAATATAGGGATCTAAGAAAACTGCTTCAGAACATAGTCACTTTACATGTCTGATACTCTAACATAAAGTAACAATAATCTTCAGCAACGCTATGGTTGGTCATGCTTAAACCTGCTGAAAGATCTAGAACCGTCATGTTAAAGAACATACCATGAATGTAAAAATTTCACATTTACCCGAGTTACAAAATTTACATAGCAGTGACCCAACAATAGCTACAGTATGTTATCTGCACTACTACAGTACTGAGGCATACTTGTGGTCCTTCTTCTTTTTTTTTTTTTTTTGGAAAAAAAGCATTCCTATTAATTTTTTTGTCTTTGTTTTTATTGATCTTTTAAAAAAAATACACTGAACTTCTTCAGATTTTGGTCCTTGTCAAAATAATTACAAAATGCATCAACATTTGTGGTAAACTACAAAGCTTTCCTGAGTCAGTATTGGTTCCACAAAATCTCATTTTTTAACATATGCAATAACTACAATAAAACCACTTCTCACACACCTCTAATTCAATCATACTCATCTGAACTCTTCCATTTCTTGCAGGAGTAAGTGTCTACTGGCTTGGGGACTTTGTGTTTGTGGAGAGCGGCCTGGGAGTGAGGGTAAAATTTGACCTCGTCAACACGGTGTATGTGACAGTCACTGCTGAGCACCTCGGAGCAACCAGGGGTCTGTGTGGGGTCTATAACAACAACGTCAAAGGCGAGAACACACAGAAATGTGCTAAATAACTTTGTCGTCGTTTATGAGCTTTTTGTTTTCCAGTTGCTGTTGGTATAACTTTGAGTCCCTGTAATTTGTAATTACTGTAACCTTTTTGTGTTCGGTTACCACAGATGATTTCACCATGATGACAGGAACTGTGTCTCCATATGCTGCCAGTTTCGGCAACTCGTGGAAAGTTCCGGACCAGCACAGTGAGGTTTGTAACTGCACTGAATGCATTATACTCTTTCTTTATTGTCATAGGTTTTATCACCACTTTCTGCTTTCTTTGAGTTCATTCTAGAGTAATAAAATTATTTGTGTAAAAATTATGACACAGCTGTTGTCTTCAACTATCAACATAAAGTGCAACAAACCATCTGGTTTAGAAGATGAATGAGTTCTGCTGTTGTGTTTGATGTGAATGCTCCATTCGGTTTCCCTTCTCCAGTATTTTCTTGTACTTTCTGTATAAGAAGGACATTCAGCAGTTGTTTCTTTGTTTCTCCGTCAGGGTTGCAGTGATGCGGCTGAGCTTGGCCACAGCTGTGATGTCGCGGGAGACCCCACGCTACGCAGGAAAGCAGAATCAGTGTGTGGTCAGCTGCTGGGAGATCCCTTCCAACGCTGCCATGTTCGGGTCAGAAGCTGCTGACACAACCTGCATGAATTTTAGTAACATCTTTACCAAAATACACCTTTTGTGAATGATGATACTTCACATGTCAGTATACTGTATGCTGTAATAATAAAACTAATAGTGGTAACAATGAGAAAATAAGAATATGTATAAAAACACTGCAAAAATTGTCCATCTACCCAAGTCTTACAATCTAATATCCAGGGATAAAGCATTTTTGATCTTGTTTGAGACTGATACACAAACTAAGCAAGAGTAGAATGTATTAGATTACTAATTTTGTTAGCTTTGACATTTTCCTTATTCCAAATAATGCAGTTGTCTTATCCCATTGGCAGATTATTTCGCTTAATTTGATAAATTTGAGAAGATTCAGACTCAGATTAAGTGAAATAATATGCCAATGGAACAAGACAATAGCACTTGGTAAGCCTTATTGAAATAATGAAAGTTACCATCTTTTGAAACAAGGAAAACTACCAGGCTAACAAGATTAATAATGTAACGTCAAAACAAAATCAAAAATACTTTTTTTACTGGATATAATATTGTAATTTTTCATATGATGGACAGAACAATCCTGACCGCATCAAACATATAATACAGTATATATAATTAATTATGAATTTGATTAAAGTCACTTATTACAGTATTCATATTTTGTTTTACAAAAATTGGAGGTAAAATCTGAAAAATTGAATCTGAATCTGAAAAAGGAGTTTCTGTTTTTTCCTGACATCATCAGCCTCCTTTTCTTCAATACAAAATTGTTTCAGTTTATCCAGGTTAGCTGTAACTCACAAACGCACAGCTTTATAGGGTAAAACACAAAATTCCAGTGTTTCTAAATCTTGGAAGTTGACTGTTTTTTTTACTTCGTCTTACAAAAACACACATATTCCGCTATTTCTTTACACTGTAAAAGAATGAAATGTTGGATTTACTTAACCATGTTATGTGACCTGGTTCCACTTAACTGAGTTGAGTAAATTCAAAGCAATGTACCAGTTTTTTAACCAAAGAACATGAGTATGTTGCTTTGAATTTACTCAACTCAGTTAAGTGGAACCAGGTCACATAACATGGTTAAGTAAATCCAACATTTCATTTTTAGAGTGTATGCTTGAAGCAAAAACAAAGTGGAAAAGCTTTGTGAAAAACTGAGTAGAATGTCATGATTTAATAACTTATAGCTGTGGTAACTGGTTTCCTGTGTGACTCAGTTGAATCAACATGGTGCCCAGGTTGGCCCAAAACAAGCCTAAATCACCGGACTTCCACCCCCGGGCTTAAAAGTTGATACGATTATTAATAAACATGGTGTGCATTATAGTTAGACATTTTCAATTTGGTCTCATGTTCAAAGAGCATTGTTACAGAGGTCTTATGGTCCAGAGAGGATTTTAAAGCCCCATGGTTCACACAGAGCAGTATTTAGATGTGCAAACTACACAAGGTTATAAAAAGGCTGTGTGTTTGTCCTTTTTAGGTGAAGCCAGAAGCTTACATAGACACCTGTCTTTACCTGTACTGTAGCCTGCTGCCCAAAGAGAGGGAGGGTGCGGTGTGTGATACTCTGGCTAGCTATGCCCGAGAGTGTGCCCAACAGCACATCATCCTGACATGGAGAACAGCCTCACTGTGTGGTAAAGAAATCAACACTTTACTCTGTGATGTGCAGTCTGTTAGTTTCCCATTATACTTCATTCTAAAATGAAAGCAACAACGTCTTTTAACACATGAGGTGCAGGATGATTGTGCTTTCCCAAATAGCAGCAGCGACATTTTCAATTCTGCTTTCTCAAAATTTTATTTGTCATTTTTCCAGGCCGTGTTTGCCCCAGAGGCCAGATCTTTTCAGACTGCGTGTCCTCGTGTCCCCCCAGCTGCTCCTCTCCGCAGCCCCCAGCGCCCGCTGCAGCCATTGGCCTGTGCAGAGAGGAGTGTGTCGGGGGCTGTGAGTGTCCTCCGGGGCTGTACCTTCACCAGGGCCTCTGCTTAAAGAAGGATGACTGTCCCTGTTTCCACCGCAGACGCACCTTCCAGCCTGGGGACACCATACAGCAGAGATGCAACACCTGGTGAGGTTAAATACGGGTTTTACTGCCCATCCGGCTACATCTCTACCTCTTTTTTTCTTTTTCACTTTCCATCTCTTCCCAGTGTGTGCAGGGCAGGTGAGTGGCAGTGCACTGGTGAGAAGTGTGCAGGTCAGTGCTCTCTGATAGGAGCCCTGCAGGTCACCACTTTTGACAAAAAGCAGTATTTACTGCACGGAGGAGAATGCGCCTTTATCGCGGTGGAGGTAAAACACAAACTGCGGTTGATTCACATGCAAACATACTGAGCCTGTTCTTTACGCTCCTGCCATTTGTGCGCTCAGGACTTTGTTGACCGGAAGCTGGTGGTGGGTGTGCGATGTGGGGAGTGCACAGCGGCGGCAGGAGGGGGAGGTGGAGGAGAAATGGGCTGTCTGACAGAGATGTCAGTCACAGCCCTGCACACTACAGTCACCATCACAAACACCGGTGAGTTACTTCACTAATCATCGAAATGATGTGCCATCTGATGAGCATCTGAAACTCCAAGTGGATGAAAGTAAATGTGTCTCATCACAACGAACTGAGGATTAAGTCACAAAGTGGTTTGTGGATAATTAGGCAGCTATACTTCATTGGTTAAAACGTTTGCAACAATTCATTTTTTGCTAAAACTGGAAACCCCTCAACAGTTTCCACTGGTGGGAAAAAAAAACTGCGCTTTCTGCCTTTAAACATTTCCAGACGTTTCCAGATGCGACTGGCGGCTCTTTCTCTTTGAAAATCAAGGTTTTCAGTTGACTTTCTCTAATTCTTACCTTTAGCTTTACACTCTTCCAAAAAATAAAAATGTCAAATGGATTTAAAAAAATTTCAGTGGCGACTTTAACATCCTCATTAGAATAATCTAAAGAATTGGATTCAGTCCAAATAAAGATAAGTTGTTTGATGAGGAAGACAAATCAAGCCACATCTCTGGAATGGCTCATGATATCAGGATGATCAAAAATGTATTTTAAAAAGCAGGAATCTGAAAATGTGGTAAAGTTGTTTGGCCAAATTTGACTTAATCCTCGGTTTGATGTGATGGGTCACAAATGGAGACTATCATACAAGATGACAGCAGCTGTAAAACTACTGTGATTTATACTCAGTAAACATTTGAACATCTTCAGCTCTGTTTTTGTTACTGCCACTCTCTAAAGCATGTGTGTCAAACTCCAGGCCCATGGGCCAAATGTGGCCCGTGAGTGCTTTAAAGATGAAACCTTCATTTACCATTTTTAATTCCTTTATCTTCTTTTCACTTAAGATCTGTCAGTTAAACATGGACATGTTTAGTATCAAAAGAAACCTCAGAATCTAAAGGCTCATAAAAAAACATTTCTACATCCACTAAACATTGTTAAAACTACTAGCTCAAGAGGTTAAAGCCAGCATTGACTATAAACTACATCTCCCATTATGCATGTCAGCTTTTTTGACATTCTGTGTTTAGTCGAAATTAAGCACAAAACATCAAAGCTAATAACAACTGGCCCTTTGAGGGCCGCTATAACACTCATGTGGCCCTTGGTGATAATCATTCAGCAGCTTTCCTTCTGTCACACGCACATTTCACACACTTCTTCGATTCTCTTCTGTTCTGCTTGTTGTTTTGGATGGTTGACTCCTGCTGTTTAAACTGATCTACCTTTAATAGACTATTTGTCAGAAACAAGGAGGTTCTATAGAACAGCTGGAGTACGCAAAAACCAGGTGACCGTGTGATCGGCTGAAGAAGCTAATGGCTAACGCTAAACGGTCAAGAGTCTGGATTTCCCATTACTGTACATGTTGACAACTGAGCAGAAAAAAGGACTGACGATGTAGAAATCATAAAAACTATTAATAATAATATTAACCCAGTTATTATTAATATTTTACAGTTTATATAATCTATTTATTGTTTTAAATCATGCCAGAAAAGCTGTTTGTGTTATGGATTTATTAACAGAAGATAAACAGGAAAACGTCTCATTTTACAACACAAGTCAGCAGATTTGATCTTATTTAGCTCAATGTGATCTGAGCAGAACATAATGTAACAGTTTAAAATTAAAATAATCTTATAAAGTCCATGTAATCACTGTTATTTATTGAACTGGTTAGCAGATGTTAGCTTGTGGAGCATATATACAGAGTTTAGCACTGTTGAATCATGCTACAATTTAACAAACTATTAAATATTACAGCTGATTTGTCCTCTGATTAATATTTAGATCTACAGAGTGTAAAATAATATTATAAATGTGAGTATTTTTAGGTTTCTGTTAGAGGAACCTGACTTGTTGAGAAGATGGTTAGCTAGAGACAAGTTTCATCCTATAACCAGAGAACATTTTCTAACTGTTGACTGGTAAATATAAATATTTATTATTTTTTATGACAGTAAGAAGAAATAATAAAAAAAACTTTATTACTAGCTGAAGTCATCATTTTTCAACTAGCTAAAGTCTAAGTTACAGGCTGACTTCAGGTCTGGTTTAGATCATTGTTACTTAAAATATATATATTTTTCTGGTATAAATCTGCTGTTTTACATGATTGTTGAATTAAATTAACATAATTATTAATTTATTGTAAAAACATGACAGATAATCTGTGAAACAGATCTGGTTCAGCTGCTGTTTATCTATTAGTTTCTATGGTGGCTGTGAGCCGTTGTCCTGTTTGGTCTGTTTCTGCTCCTCCATGCTGTCACAGACACTACCAGTGGACGGGATGGGCGGGGCTCAGTCTAGTGATCCATATTCAAGTCTATGGTCAGAAATGATCACAGATGCTCATGCGCGAAGCAGGCTGACTGAGCTGAGGTAGATTTTTTTTATACATATCTAAGCTTTTTATGCTTTGTGAGCTTGTTGAATTAGCAGAATTCTAATGGTGAAATTTCATAGAAACCTCAGCATTTACCCAGTTGACCTGTGACACAGAAGACCTAGGCTTCCCTAAGTGCATGTGCACAAAATACTATGGAGTGGTCTATACAGTACATCTACTCTGTGTGGTGTCATAGCTCCACTTTATCTTCCTCTCTCACACACACACTGTTGCCAACTCCTCAGTAAGAAAAGTCACTTTTTGCTATCCTAAAAGCCACTGGAAGTTTCTAGATGATGTAACTGCCTAATTTGTAGGAGAGATTTATATCAATGTTAAAGAAAAAAGTGAACAAAAACACTCTAAAGATGTTTAGAACTGCAAATAAACATAATGAAATAATTCCCTGACTTCAGTGTTTAGATCCACATTACATAAATACATTTTGTGAGAATGTCATATTTAACCAACACTGTCACTGTGGCACACAGGGTGGATGAGGTGAAGAAGCGACTGAAGCTGTGAGTCAAATGCAGCCGGGTCCAGAGATTTATTTTAGTGAGAGAGTGTCATTAAAACAAAAAACATCATAGTAAAAATGACATTGTGTTTTGTAAGCCAGGGCGGGAGTAGCGGCAGCTTTGCACATGTGTGATCATTTGAAGTGGTCTCCTCCCAGCTGACTGCAGCCGGGGTGCTGCACGACTTTTCAGTGAGTCAGACCGCTTGTTAATGCTTTGGAAATGGGGAGGGGCTCACTGCACCACTCATTGCTCGCAGGTGCTGCCACCTAACGCTCCAAAGGTCCCCAAAAACATAGTAAAAATCTTAAAAACAAATCCAAAAACAACAAAAAATAGATAGAGGGGCCTGAAAACTTGGTAAATCCAGCGACAAAGTGGCTAGGTTGTCAACACTGAACACACAGGGATCCTGTTCTGCTTCTACTGATTTTTATTCATCTTCTCCAGATTATACCTCTACTTGCACTAAAAACAAATCAAAATACTTGTGTTGAATTTACTTTAAAATATTTTAACTGGTTCTACTCAACTGAGTAAATCTAAAGAAAATTTTCATCTACTTTATAAGTAAATTTGAAGTAATTGTTAGATTTACTCAGTTCAGTTGAGTTGAAACTGTTGACGTAATTTATTTAAGTAAATCCAACGCAAATGTTTTGATTTTTTGAGTGTATTCACAATATGTAGATCACAATCTTCTCTGCAAATGTAATCTACATTGACTCCTTGTGAAATTTATCTGAATTTAAGGTTAAACTTATCTGTGCATCATCAGAGTCATATTATTGGACCTTTAAATGTGGTCAAATGTTTGTAAGCTTGGTAAATTTACTCTAAATACTCAAAAAACATTGGGCCTCATGCAAGAACATGTTCGTATTCTTATCCTAAATTTCTCTTACTTTTGTTCGTACAAAGGGTTCGTACGAACAGAGGACCAAACCTATCATTATTGGAAATAAATGTATAAATAT